TTCATCTACTTGTACTAGATTTGAGGGCACAGACAGCTATCCCGAAAATAGCAGGATATAATGTGGCAAACATTCTTAATTTCCTATTAACTTAATTTGAAACCCTGTATAACTTACACTGTCTTATTGTGACTGATCTTATTTGAATCTGGTTTGTTAGATTATTGTTTTGTATTCACTGATTTTATTCAAATCTATTATAATTGATAGTATCAAGTCTGAGAGTATAGGCAACTATACTGAAAATGACAAGATTCAGTAGGACACCCACTCTGGCTTGATTGTTACCTGCTTTTGAAGTCTTATAATGACTCCAATGTTTTGTTTTTATTAATATTGTTATGTACTGCTGTATTCAATTATACTACGCTTGGTGACATAGACAATTCTATTGAAGAGAATAAGAGACATCACAGTAACCGTGATAGATCATCTTGTATAGCAGTATTATTTGACTTTTTCATTTCATGTTTTTCTAGGAATTTGTTTTGTTCTGTCTTGCTTTGTTTTGTTTTTCTCTCTAATACAGAAAGGATAGATACACATGTAGAGACTCACACATGCATAGAACTTGTAAACAGTCTATGACAACTGATTATGTAATTCATGATGCAATGAACAACCACTTGGAAGAAAAAGAGACACTACAGTACCCAGTGCTGACTCTGTAGCATCATGATGTGAAACCCAGCAGTACTATTATTCTTTGTTCAGAGTGATTTTAGTCTGTTTTGTTTTGTTTAATTTCAACATACATGAAGGTATGGACAACTATTTTGAAAAGAATGAGAGACACTATAATAGCCATTGTTGACTTCCCTATTGTTTGGTCTTGAAGACCTAAAATGCCTGCATCATCCTGTTCTGATCAGTTTTATGCTATGTTGATTTATATGAATTCACTGTATGTGAAGACATGGATAACTATTTGGAAGAAAACAAGAGGCAATATGATAGATAGTGAAGATCTCTGATTGTCTTGCTTTGAAATTATGTCTCATATTTCTTTCTTATGTACTGTTTTGTTGTGCTTCATTTTACCCTCTTTAAAATAAAAAAAAAAAGGTCTTCCGGGAGAACATGGCGGACAGATAACAGCAACTACCGGAGGCTCTCTGAAAGACTCGGCTCAGAAGCCAGGAATGGTGCGGACTAAGGGGACATAAGCAGGTGGAGATATGCTCTGCTGACTCAGGAACGAACTGGGCTGAGAGAAACCAACTTGGAATGCAGTCCTGGTGCTAAAACAGGAACAGAAAAGTCTCGGTGTGGAGGCTGGACCCCGCGCCATTGTAAGCCGCGATTTGGGTTTCCCGCCGCGCGGCGGCTGGCTGCCTCTATAGCGGCTCAGCAAGGAGAGAGACGCGCAGAAGCTCTGAGAACGGCAATCTGCGAACAGCAGGGAGGCCTGCACTGACTTGTGGTGAGGTGAGTGAGAGAAGCTGACACTCTACCACAGTTTGACTCCAGCGGAGGACTTTCTGGGCCTGAGCAGTCCTGCGGGAGCAGGGCGCAGTGGCGACTCCAGCCACACATCCCCCTCTCGGGCGGGATTGGTGAAAAGTGCCTGGCCTGCGTGACGCTGCCGGCGGACCTGGTAGGCTGTCCCAACCCAGATCCCAGAGCCTGATGGTGGCCGGGAGGGGAGACGCGTAGGCTGCCTGGTCCGTAACTCCCTGGTGCGCAGCGGTGAGCGGGAACACCTAACTGGCGCAATTCGATCAGGCTGTGGCTGACTGGGAGAGAAGCTGGGCCTCTTATATAAGCTTGCATATATAAGGAACAGAGAAGAAGAGGCAGCATGGGAAGAGGCAGTAACAAGAAAGGCTCCTTGGCCCCCAATTCTGAGAAACAGGCAATAGCAGACACCGCACCAATATACATAAGGCACCATATAGAGAGCCTCATAGACCAATTCAGGAATGAAGTTATCAATGACCTGAAGCTAGAAGTATGCAGAATAGTTAGAGAAATGCTAAGTACCACCCAAGAAAAAACAGGTGGTGGAATGGAAGAACAGAAAAAAAGGGGAGAATTGTTTGATGGAGAAAACAGAGAAACTATAGAATACGTGAAGCAGGTTCAAAGGGACTACCAAGATACTAAGAAGTCTATAGAAGACTGGCATAACAGCTTGAAAGAAACTAAGGACAGACTATCTGAACTGGAGGGCAGACTTGTAATATGGGAGAATGAAATGAAAAACTTCTTAAAAATAACAAAGAAACAAACAGCAATAATACAAAGACAAGAAGATGATAAGAGGATCCATAACTTAAGGATTAAGAACATAAAAGAAGAAGTAGGGACACAAACAAGTGAACTACAAAAGCTACTCACAGAAATAATCCAGGAGAATTTTCCTAATTTAGCAAAAGGTAAAGATACTCAGATGTATGAGGCATACAGGACCCCAGCTACCTACAACCCAAACAGAGCAACACCCAGGCATATAATAATAAAAATTCCAGAAATTCAATACAAGAACAGAATATTAAAAGCTGTCAGAGACAAGAAACAGACCACTTACAAGGGAACACCCATCAGAATTACAGCAGATTTCTCTGCACAAACCATCAAATCACGAAGAGCGTGGGGGGAAATAATTCAAGCTTTGAAAGATAATAATCTCCAGCCAAGATTGAGATATCCTGCACAACTGTCCCTGGAAATTGATGGAAAAACAAGGTGCTTCCAGGATAAAGAGGAACTGGGGGAATTTGCAACCACCAATTCAACTCTACAGAGAGTATTGCAGGATATTCTAAAAAAAGAAAAATACAGAGAATCCAGAAATAATGGCAGAGAGGCCACAACGAATGGAGCAGAGAACAAAATGAAGAAGACAAACTGACAGCTACTGACAGAAAAAGAGCTCAACAGAAATGAGGCAGAGAAGATTGGATGATAGGAACAGCTATTTTGGAGAAAATGACATCTTAATAGGTAATACTGATTTAGTATCATCCTGTTTTGAAGTCTCATCTAGCTTTTGTCCTTCTGTCTCCAATGGTCTAAATAGGTTGTATCTTACTGGATTTTATTATGTACGATAGTATAAGCAAAAACCTTGTAAAGACAAGGAGATTATACAGAAACCATTATTCATTTTCTGTTAGTCGATTCTAAATACTCTGTAACGCTGTCATTCTCTTGAATGGTTTTACATTGTTTTGATATACTTAATGCTACAGTATACGAAGTTGTACTCAAGGATTTCAAAGAAAGACAATATGGTAACTACTTTTAGGTTAGGATTATCTGGTGGTGAAACACTATTCTGCTTAAATGGTTATGTTTTGATCTGCGCTGTTTCGTTGTTATGCCCTCTTTTATCTCAATCTCCACTCCATTATTTACTTTTTTATCTTTATCCTTTTAATTAAAGGAAAAAAATAGCAGGATATATTATAGTAACCCACTTTGAATTTTCATTACCTTGATTTAAAGCCCTGTATTACTCTCACCATCTGGTTTTTAACTGATGTTCCCCTATTCTGTTTTGCTGGATAGTATCAGGTTCGAAAGTTTAGGCATCAGCTGTGAAGATAATGAGATTCATTATGACGCCCATTCTTGTTGACTTTTATCTACTTTTGAAGACCTACAATGTCTCCAATGTTTTGGTTTTGTTGGTTTTATTCTTTACTGTTTTGTTCAATTGTATTATAACTAACGATATAGGCAATTCTATTAGAGATAGTGGGAGGCATTATAGTAACCATTGTTGATCACCTTGTATTATGTTTTTACATTATCTATTATGTCCACCCTTTTGACTTGACCGATTCTGTTCTGTTAGGTCACATTTGGTTTTACTCTCTTCCAAAAAAGTAATAAGAACCGTGGGAGCAATGAAACCCAAAATGTGTAATAGTCATGGTACAAAAGAGAGGAAAAGAAAGTGCTCCAAACTATATAACTGCATGTATATTTAAGTGTATAAGATAGAAAATGATATCACAGAGTTTTATTGGATCAATGAACAGAACTGTTTGCAGTATCGTTGATGGAATGTCCACTTTACAAGCTTTAATTTTGTGACTTGAACAATTATTTATAAGATGACAATATGTAATCCATTAACTAGTGATTTCCTACTGTTCATTTTTTTTTCTGTAAATCTGTATAACTTGTACCCTTTCCCTGCTTTTTTTTTCTTTTCTCCTTAAATAAAATTAAAAAAAAATAAAAATAAAAATAAAAGAAAGAGACTAGAATTTTTTTGAAAAATAAATTTCCATGTCCCACTGGATATTATGTAGTGGTTTTTATGTTACCAGTTTTACTGTGTTCATTGAGTACATATTATATCATTCACTGTGCTGTAAGTTTTCATGTCAGTCTTTCTTTAGCCTTCTAAACAATCTTGTGTTTTTTATATATTGAAAAGCTGAACCTCCTAGAAGTTGAAAATTTATACAAATCACAAGATCATCTACTGAGTACCAGGCTGGAGATACAAATATAAGCCAGTCTTATTCTAGACCCTGTATTTTTTTCAGTATACCATTCTGCCTCATTTTCTGAAAGAACTTTTCAGTAGTCAAAGTAGATTGTCAATTAACATGACTGTACACTATAGTTAATGTATATGAAATAATGAAATGTGAGACATCTGTACATTCTTAGTTGAAGTGAATCTTACAGTTCCAACTTTAGTTTTCCCTCCTGTAGTGAGAAAAGAAGCTTTCAAAAGTAAGTTAGATATTGACAGTATTTATAATATTGCTTTGAAATTTACTTGCATAGCATTGTTACAAAACACAAAATGAATATACAGACCACACTGAATATTTTGTGCTGGCCACAGTGCCACTTCAGTAATCAAACAAGTTGTCTTATGATCTCAAAACAAACAAATGAACAAAAATACTCACAAAATTTCTAAGTGATCTAGCATTAATTATTCACCTTTAAGTTTACGGAGGCAATAGCATAAAGCAGAAAATAAAATACGATCTAAAATATTTCAAAGATATACACTTGCAATTACTTACCCCCATGACCAAATCTTCTGTGCCAGGTAAACTCTAAATATAAAAAAAAAAAAAATTGATTCTAAAACAAGTGTTTGAGTTGTGGTTTCAAACATTTCTCAAATGAGAATCTAATCAATATAGTAGCACTGGCTCCTCACTGTTAAGGCTGAAGTATCCTCACATCTGCCCAAAGATTTATATTTCATAGATGGCGACCTAAAGTTTTCAGTCAATAAAATTATTATGAATTTTTGGTAATAGTAATATATTTTTGTTTCACCTCATTCATAAAAATAAGGCTTCACCACAATAACAGCCAGAATTTTTCATTATATTTACAATATATATATATATATATAATTCATATATATATATATATATATATATATATATATGTAATGACTGTGTCTAAAAACATATATATATATACATATGGATGCTGATAAAATTTAAGTACTAATGAAATCATTATGTTTTGGAAACTAGATTCAACGTAATAAACTTTACTACTCAAAATAAAATATTATTTTTATTTCCCTGAAAATAAATTCTATGGACTCTTTCTCAGGTTCATCATAAAGTGGCCAGCAGAGAATGATATAAAACAGTATGAGATGTGTATCGCCAAACGAGACAGCAATTTAAGAAGTACTTACAGAGCTAAGGTTCTTGATTAATATATTAGAAAACCTGATAGAAAACATGCTATGTTCAAGTAAAAATACAACATACATTCTCTCAAAGGAATTATCTCTAATGCTTCATATTTCTCTTTGAAAGAAATATATTCTCTTTGAAATATATTAAAATATATAAAAATATATAATATATTTTAATATATTAAAATATATTAAAATCATTTCATTACTCTTATCATACACACATCATACACACATTAAACATGGCTTTCCTAAGATTCATTAAACTGTTGAAAGATATGTAAGATTCAATAGTGTGTTTGAACCAGTTGTAATACTCTTAAGATGTTATTATTAATTTTAAAGAATTTTATGAATCAATTGTTAAACACGGCAAAAGTTAAAAATATATTTTATCAATAACTATATGAAGAACAAATGGAACATGTGTTTAAAATTCATTACTTCTTAATTTCTTTTTTTAAAGCACATTTTACTATTACTTACTGAATTTACTTTAGCTTACGTATCTGGATAGTGAAAATGTTATATAGTAGGAAGCTGTGGCGCATTAAATTATGTTAAGTTGAAACTGACTGTCCCACCAAGGCTAACACCAGGAATAGTTCCCCATTCAAATTTTCAACCTTCACTGGCACATTTCTATGTGAGGACTATATCTTATGAGGAGTTTTCTAACTAAAAGTCAAAAATTTTAAATTGGGACAAACCTTAAAATATAAAATCTGTTTAGTTTTATGATTAAAATGTCAAAAGGAATCATCACTTCTAACATCATACAACAGACGTAATGAAAGGGAAATCACACTAATTATGTTGACATAACTTACAGAGATGAGACAAAGGATGTTTCCTTACCTCCTAGGCAGCTTGTGAATAATACAATCACAAAATGACTGACCAGCAACCACATTTTCATCTTCTGTTTAGAAGCCACTCAGTTCAATTGTTTTAAAGGGAGAAATAAGCTTTACTTTATGGCTGTTGGATGATATGAAACACCTGCATCAAGAAAAGAAGAGGAGAGAAAAAGGGAGGAGAAGGAGGGGAGCAGAGGGGAGGGGAAGGGAAGGGAGGGGAGGAAGTCAAGGAAAAATAAAGGGAAAGAGAATGAAAAGGAGAAGGGAAAAGGTTCATCATTTGAGGCCAAAAACATTATCATTTCTGCTTTGCTTTATATTTTTTGTTTACAGAAAAAGTTCTAGCATATTCAAATGCCCTGTAAGCACCACACTGTAAGGATTTGGTACCCTAGAGCTTCAGTAGACATGGCAGTGTCCACAGGCTCAGATCATGAGCAAGCTCAGTTGGTGTATGTTCGGGGCTTTTTTCCTTAACCGCTGACTTTAACAACCCCTTCTACAAACAGCACAATCAGCAACATTCCAGTATTAGTCACTTTACTTGAAGACTAAACTTAAGTGCTGGTAGATTCATTTAAAGGTAAGTACTTTGTATAAGCACCTTCTAAAGAATCAGATGTTATTACATAAAGGTGATACACAGTGTTGGTGGCTGGTGGAAATGTTTTTCCAGAAATTCTATTTTAATGTTAAAACATAATGATATAAAAATATTTATTCTCCTCTTGCCTTCACTTTTTTATGTAATTATTCAATAAAAGGTACCAACAAAAAGCAGCCTAGATTTTGTGAGGTCAAGTATTTAAAAACTGGAGAACCCTACTTAAAGACAGGAAGACAAAATTACTAACATAAGTTATGAATCCACATAGCAATCTAATTAAAATATTTTGTTCTGGCAAATTTTGCCAAAACACATGAACATGTGATTGCTGAAATTTCACCCAAAGTCTTGGAGGAACCTCAAGCAAGAAAGGAACTACAGAGCTGAAGCCTCATCGTCTTCATGGGAAATGTATCTGTGACTAAACCAACAGAAGTGAGGAATCAGGCCGGCATCTGCCCACAATTAAGAAGCTTCCAGATAACAGAAACACAGATAAATACACAAGTTAGTGTAATGAGATAGTGATTTCAACTTGTAAGCTATTCACATCTGTCAAGGTTTATGTTGGTGGTGCCCAGGCCCCAAGATTTTGCATTATGCATTTATGATTGGTTCGTTGTCTAGCACTTGGATTGGGGCTGTGAGTGCTACACTGGTCTAGGAGTGGAGCCAGGATGTAATGTCATGGCAGGAAGAAGGTGTGTCTCTTTCTCTTGCTGGTTTTGGCTTGCTGTTTGCAGCTACCATGAATTGTGGCCCTGCCATGCTACCCTGCCTTGGAGCCAACTGCGTATGGACTGAAACCTCCAAAAACTGTAAGAAATAAATCTTTCCTTTCCCAACTTTGAGCATCAGGTATTTTGTCTCGATGACTAAAAAGTAACTAAGGCAGAATTTGGTATCAAGGAGTGGGGCCACTGCCATGACTATACCTGACCATGTGTTTTGAGAGGCTTTGGAAATGGCTTGTGGGCAGAGTTTGTAAAGGTTTGGACATGTTGACCACATGCATAGAGCTGGAGCAGCTTAGGCTGTTCTATAGCAGAGATTCTGTTCAGAGCTCAGGAGACCAGAAGGCTGATAGAAAGCCTGATGCTAAAGACCAGGCTTGGGAGGTTTCTGATGGGAAGAAGGACTGCATTGGTTGTTGGACCCCCCACAGTGTGTGTTATGGCTTAGCAGAAAGTTTGTCTGCATTTTGCTCATGCCCAGAGACTTTGCCTAAGACTGAGACAAAAGGCAATGGACTGATTCATCTGGAAAAGGAAATTTCAAGGCAGTCAAATGTTGAGGCTGTGCATGGCTATTGTCGGGGACTTTTAGCCAGTTTTACGTTGTAAATCAAATGCAAAGAGCCCAGCAGGATAATTTTACAATACTGTGAGTTTGGCCATAAGGAAAACTCCAGTAAAGCTTCGGATTATAAAGTTTTGTAAAGTTCAAACTGAGATTTTGATTGCTGAGAAGAAACAGAGAGATAAGAAAGATGGCACTGGGGCATCCCAGGAAGCAGGGTCTCCACCCTTTGCAGCCTCAAAATGGCAAAACTGAAAGAATTTTCTGAGAGGAGAAAGCTGCAGAGCACCATGCTCCAGAATAGCAATGGAGGCCACATGAGGTTCCAGAATAGTGGCAACATAGAGAAGCTTTTCTTTACAATCAGGTTCATAGAGCCCAACAATCCAGGCAATCAACCCCTACAAACATTGGTGCCATCCACGTGGTGCTGATTTTAGGTACAAGGAAAATGCAGAAATTCTGAGGGTAAGATGGCTTCCACCTTAATTACAAAGGGCCTGGGAGGCCAAGCAGTGTGCCCCTGAGAGGGCAATTTGTAAAGAGGTAAAGATGAAGCCAAAGGTGCAGTGGAGATCCCAGAAGTTTGGAAAAGCCAGAAAAGTGGGTGACACAAGGAAAGCTGCAAAAAGGGAGCAGAGAGGATTTAAGAGAAAAGTTGTGGTAGCTGAAATTGCCCAAGCCTTTTTGGAGCTTGCAACCAGATTGCTTCAAATGCTGAGATGGAACTCTAGAACTTAATGTTCGCCCTCCTGGATGTTGGACTTGCTTTGTTGCCAATGCTTTGTACTCCCATGTTTGTAACTTTTGGAATCATAATGTTTATCTTGTGCCTTTGTATTTCAGAAATGTTTAACCTTGTTTCATTTGTACAGGGGGTTACAGTTAATGAGTTTGCCATAGATCTTGGAGGAGACTTGGGACTTGGACTTTTCAACAATGCTGGAACTGTTAGGACTTTGGCAGCTCTTGGAGATGGACTAAATGTCTTTTGTATAAAAGATGTACATGAGTCTAGGGGTGGAATGTCATGGTTTATGTCGGTAGCCCCCAGGTCTCATGTCTTTGCATTGTGCATTTGTGATTGGTTCATTGTCTAGTGCTTGGATTGGGGCTGTGAGTGCTACACTGGCCTAGGGGTGGAGCCAGGATGTAATGTAATGGTAGGAAGAATGCGTGTGTGTGTCTCTCTCTCTCTTGCCAGTTTCGGCTTGCTATTTGCAGCTGCCATTAACTGTGGCCCTGCCATGCCACCCTGCCTTGGAGTCAACTGAGTAGGGACTGAAACCTCCAAAAACTGTAAGAAATAAAGTTTTCCTTTCCCAAATTCGGGCATCAGGTATTTTGTCTCAGTGACAAGTAAAAAGTAACTAAGACAACACTGTAAAAGAGTTAAGCATTACAATTGGAAGCATTGTAAAATACAGCAGGGGAGGTATGGGGCTGGTTGTGGTAGGCAGGGCATGTGGTTTTTAGGTACTATACTTTAAGACAAGTCATTTGATTACTTTGAAACTCAATTTTTTTACTGAAACTCCTTGAGAATAAGATATTTCAATGCATTAGAAAAATTTCTTCAATAGAATCCAAGCACAGTGTCAACTGGAAAAGATCAAACCATGTTTTCAGAGATTATATAAGAGTACAGCAGAATTAAGTATAAAAAATACAAAAAAGCAATTAAGCAATTCTAAAAGAAGAATGCTTAGTGCTGTAGTGTTCCATATGGAAATAGATATTATTCAAAAAATTCCTACTGATTATTTGCATTGTATTGGTATGTTAAAGAAAAATATGAGATCCCTTGTATTTTAATTACGTTGAACTTTGAGAATATGTCTATTCTTGATGTTCAAGAAACATAAGTCTATGCCAAGGCTGCTCAAAATGTTTGTTTATAATACATAAACTAAATTAAAACCTTTTTCTTCTCAGTATATTGATTACTCTGCAGTGAATAAATCATGTATTCCTAAAAAAAAGCCTGAATTCTTGTAGAAAATGCAGAGGAAATGAGTTAAATTATCAATAGGAAATATGTATAATATCACTGCAAAATGTAATCAACAGATGACTTTAGTCAAGATTAACTTTTGAACAATATCATTCTTAGACACATCTGAGAAAGTAGTAACTGTATATCAACCAGAATTATATTAATTTAAAATTCTTATTTAAAATTCTTGGAATTTAAAATTCTTATTTGATTAAATTTTTATCGTCAGGCAGGACAGGCAAGAAAAAAACACCAAATTGTTTTTAAAAGGTGAAGAATGAAGAACAATCTTCAAGAGGCAGAAAAATCAATTAAATGATCTGAAGAACTGTTTAGCTTTTTATTTCAATCATTTATGTTGTCAGTAGTATGTAAATATGTCCTAAATGCAAATTATTCATTTAGATGTGTACAGCTTGGTTATATCTTTCTAAGCTTTGTCACTTACAAAGAAAGGTAGACTTGAACCCTTTGTCTTTTGGCTTCTAATTTTTCTGCTGGGTTATGCACAAAAAAGAGGATAAGCTTCATTAATGAAAAGTTAAAGAAAAAAATAAAATTATATCAAAATGTTGGCAATACAAGTTAGTTTTTAAAGATTAACTTAGACAAATATATATAGAGACATTTACAGATTACCAAGCATGTGCAGTTTAATGGCAACCGTAATTATTGGATTTTAAATAGTTCTAATTTATTTACTAATAAATTAACATAATTTGAGTACTCTATATGATTGTCACAGATATTCAGGTTTAAGAGCAAGGTATGTTCCTGCAGTTTTGGTAGCCAGAAGAGGAACCAGCACTGCCCAGAAAGAAAGAAAAATGGAGGAATAGAGGTGAAGAATAAAGAACAATGTGTGTGAACATGTCCTTCAGATTCTTCATTTCGTGGAGCGTATCTGTACTGTTTGATCTATTTACCCATTAATTCTATGTATAGAATGGATAAGTGGGGTGAGTCTAAATAAAGGATTAGTGATACCCGCACAGAGCAAGTGATTTTAGGAAACTGAAAATAAAATGTAGAGGAATTTTTCTCAGTCAAGGATGTTATTTAACACTTTCTTCTCAGATAACAATCACAGTATGTGGGAATTTGTGCCAACACATCATCAAAATAGAACAAGGGAAGCCAGGCAAATCTTGTCTGAATGTTACTCCACCATTTTAGTGTTTGAATTTGGGCAAGTGGCTTTATCTCTGGCCTTCATTTCCCTTTCATAGGAAATGTGAAA